GTGGGCCCCAGCGGGCGGCCCTTTCTCCGGACGGTGAGTCCTGGGCTCGAGGCACCCGTAGTTCCCGGCCCTCACGCCCGCTTCCGGCCGGGTGTACAGAAGTCAAGGTCACCGGCCCCGTTCTCTCTCACCTGCCGGGCGTCCTGGACTGGCAGCTCGCGCGAGGGGGGCGGCGAGTGGGGCGTGCTCAGCAGGGCGCCTCCGTGTTTCTCACCGTGGTCCGCGTCAGCTCGCGGTGCGTGCCACACATGGGCCCGCCACCTGGACTTAAGCGGTCGTGCTTCTTGGGGGAAAGCAGCGATTTTGCACCGGAGGATTTAAGCGCGCTGTTCTGGCGGGGGCCTTGCACTTCATTCAGGTTGAACCCATTTTACAGATAACAGCAACTGAGTCGTGAAATGCTTAGGAATGTAACTTCTGTTTCCAGCCTTGGTTGCCTTGGTTTTCTCTGCTGTCATGACATTGGGAAATACAGTGCATCTTTGGGTACACTTGGCAGCATGAGCTCGGTGTAATTAAAGCTAGGTTTTGGAGTTAAGCTACTTCATTTCTTAAGCACTTCCATTTCCCCACCTGTTGAATGGGGCTGTCGCTGGCATTTTGGGTCTGGTACATATTAAATGTCGATACGTTTTAGCTATAATGATTATGATGATTACAGTAATGACATTAACAGTCACATCTTCAGTGGAGAGATAATGTTGCCTAAAGGCCTGACCTCAGGAGGAGGCTATCTCTGCTATCTCTCTGCTGGTAGTAGCCAGCAAATAGAAGACACCACGTGGTTGTATTTTTCCCGAAGTGATAATAGTGGAAAGTGTAGAGAGCCGTTGATATTAGCTATTTCACTGACACAATTTGTTTTCTGTCAGCGGCCAGCCTTGCATTGGTTTGCCCAGAGGGGCATAATAAAGACAAGTAGCATGATATTTAAGACCCTAGGGTCAGTCACAGGAATCTGGCATGGCAATTTACAGATTTAAAGATCCACCCTTAAGGAAATTGGCTCAGTCTTTCAACTTAAAAGGGTTAATAACAGTACCTGCATTTTTTTTTCCCTTTTTTCTTCTGGATACTACCCTACACTATGCCTTTTTTCAGTTTCTTACATTGCACCCATTTTCCCATTTTACTTTGTTCTAGTCCTTTTGCCCCTAGTGAATATTAGGCTCAATGCACAATGCTAGATAGGATTCTGCCTTGTGGGTTAGCAATTTTTATGTGAAAAACCTTTTTAAGAGTGGCATAGTCGTCTCTGCTAAGGCACTAACACAGATAACAGATTGATGGGGTTGTGTAACATCTGTTCCCAAATGCAGTTTTGACGACTGGGTTAGTGACATGGAGCATTACTGTGCTACTTGCACGGGAATTTGATAGAACAGACTTTGTTTTAAGTTTATACTACTGTTAAAGTTCAGAGACAAAGTACTATTCTCACAATTAGCTTTCTGGTGAAAAGATTTTGATGTGTGATTATGCTCAGAGGAGTAAGATTGATGATAGAGCAACTAAAAAATGCTCATGTTGATAAACATAAAAGCTAACTCTCTAAAATGAGGTGGTCTAAACTTAAATTTTGTGAATTGATAACCTTTTTAATTTTTCTTTGAATGTAGTTGGATTAATATGTAGAAAAGTTACATTGATGGTTCCTGTATAGAAAACACCAGTATTAAATAAAGTCATAGAGATTATTGCTGAAGGTGTTTCAGGGCAACACAATTTGAAAATCGAACCTAAAGGAGGCGTATTAGTCACAAATGCTATGACTATATGCCATGTGTCCAGTACTGTACATTGTGGCAGCATTAAACATTTGCTTTGTTTGGTAATGTAAAGAATATTTTCACTCAGATAGCTTTCAGAATAATTGGAAATAATAAATTTAAGTGTACAGTTTTTAAAAGTGCTTTTTCATGTTACTACATTTGATTCTCATAATAAAGTACACCTGGGAACTAGAAAAGCAGAGTTGTTTTCTCCCATTGCGGATGTGTAGCTGAGGTTCCTAATGTCATGAGATATATTGAAGACTGTTGGGCAAAAAAAATTCAGGTTTCCAGTTTCAACAAAATGAAGTCTGACATTGTGCCTGGTGAATTATTGGTCCTTCAGATCCCAGATAGGTGTCAGAAGTGTGACATCCCCAGGCCCTATAAACATACAACTCCTTCCTCTGTGCTTTCTCTTCCTTATGTTTAGAGGTTTTGTATTGTTGCCCTTTTAAGTCATTCTGTATTGGATTTGTCCCCAGGACTGTCTTCTTGAGTTTCATAGGGGTAAAGAGGGTTCTGATTCACTGTGGACTCCCCCAATGCTCGGCAGCACCTGCCCTTGAGTAAGTGCTCAGTGAGTTGGTATGACTTGTTGCTTTGTCGCTTTTGAGTAAGCAGTCATCTCAGTCTATACCCTTGGTGCATTTGGCACTGGTAAATATTTAATGATAGTTATATGTATTACCAATAAGACCAAGTATTCCCAGAAAGATCTAATACAACAGAAATTACAGATTCTTTCAGACCAGCATTGCTGTCAACTAAGAACAATGTCAGTGTTTTGTTCTATTTTTACTGTGTATTTTTGCTCTACATCTGTCATTAAAAAAATTTTTTTTTAAAGATTTATTTATTTATGCAAGAGCTGGGGTGTAGCTCTGAGGGGTTAGGGAGAGAGGATTTACCAGAGACTGAATGGGGAGGATAGACAGCTTGATTGATACACAGCAGTGAGGAACAGCAGGATAGACTGGAGAGGTCTGCTGTACCATGTGGGTCAGCATACTTACTGGGAATATAACTCTTGCTTCAGTGGCTGCCCGTTTCAGAGTATTGAGGCTTAATCCCTTGCCCCACCAGAGAAGCCCAAAATGTGTCATTTTAAAGTGTTCAGCTCACTGGTCTTCAGTTTTCATAAGGTTACACAGCCATCATTTAATTCTAGAACATTTCATCACCCCCAAAAAGAAGTCCTGTAACAATTAACAATCACTCCCCATCTCCCCAACTATTCCTTGAGACCCAGGCAACTATTAATCTGTAGTCACTAAGGATTTACATATTCTGGGTTGGAATCATAGACTGTCACCTTCTGTGTTTGCTTTTTTAACACAGTTTTTTAAAGTACATCCATGTAGTACTTTAAGTAGTAGCATCACTACTTACATCCTTTTGAGGGGCTGAATAATATTCTGTTGCATGAATATACCACATTTTATCTGTTTCTTATCAGTTTGTGGATATTTGGTTGTTTCACCTTTTGGCTATGACAGACACATATACTATTATGAAAATTAGGTTTTCTGTGGACACGTTTTCATTTCTCAAGTAGGAGTGAAATAGTTGGATCATATGGGTTGAACATTGACCATTTTGAGAATGCCAACCCTTCCAAATTGACTTCTCAGGTCCAGAAGTAGCTCCAAGTTCTGTACATCCTCACCAACACTTGTCTTTTTTTGTTGTTGTTATACCCACCCTAGTGGATATGAAGTAGCTTGATAGTTTTGTGATAATTATGTTTTTATCATGAAGCTATAAGGGAGGCAAAAGATGATAATAAATATGAACTTCCTTTAACCATTTTCCTCTGGTTTTAAAAACTTTCCTTCCCCTTAACTGGTGAATTTCCATTTTACAAAAGGATAGGATTACTTGAGATTTTTTTGCTGCCAAATACGAATATGTCTTTCATTGATTGTGCAGGTAAAAATTTAATAGGGAATATCTTTAGTTACAATTGTACTTTGCTTTATCTAGACTGTATTCACATATATTTTGCTTAAATAATGTTATTTAAAGTTCAAATGGATCTATATTGAGATTTGTATAACCAGGATGACAATAGAGCAGATAATCTTCAGCAACTCTTACTAGTATATGGATTATCAGTAATGTGAGACCATAAACTTTCTTATCTGTGAACTAAGGTAAATTTAATGTATGTAAGCATGATTCTGTAATTTTGGTAAATAATCTTGCACTGACCTTGTCAATGAGTAAGCTTGTGAAGCAGCAGATTTTGCTGCTGCAGATTGAACAGTGCCAAAGTGAGTGTGTTGGCAGAGAATGATTAAACTATAATTCTTAATTTTATCTATGATTTGAAATATTCTTATCTTCTGGATCATATTTTGGTCTCGTGGTTCTACTGCTGAAGAGTAACACAGGGACAATCTCAACTTTCCTTTAAAAGGAAATATCCTTTTACTAGTCCATAACCATTTTTTTAAAGGGAGAAAAACATTTCATTCACTTTGTGATAACAGAAATGAATCTAAAATTCTTTATCTTGATCTGACTTTAATACTTTTCTTTATGTCACATTGCAGCTTTATCGCTACGCCATAGCACCAACAACTGGCAGAAATTCTCTTATGACAGATGTAATTTCTGCTTATCAAAAATTCTGTTCTCGACCTCCAAAAGGTAAACTCTTAAATACAACTGTAATATGTGACACTAAGTGTGACTGATATCACCGTTCTTGTTAGACATGTGCCATCAGTAGTTGTTACTGAGTAGGTCCATAGGTTTTATTTCAGGTTGGATCTTCTGTAATCATCTCTAACCACCTTTAACCTCAAACTTCTGTCTGATAGCAGTGATGAAACTGTTATTTTCACATGTAACACTTTTATGGGTAATAAAATTGGCATTCAAGTGAGACTTTTTTCCTTTAAAACCTTTGGGTTATAAACCACATTAGTCTTTAATTTACTCCTACATAAGGAACATTTGTTTTTATACATTTTTTTTTTAAGATTTATTTGTGCATACAGAACTGGGGTACAGGCCAGAGGCTCAGGGGCGGCGAGAGGCTTCACCATAGACAGAGTGAGGAGCAGAACAGGCAGATTGACGAAGTACAATGCTGAGGGGAGCAGTGGACGGGTCAGGAGAGGTCTGCCACGCCATGTGGTCATCTCTGGGGCAGGCAGGGATCGAACTCATGTGGAAGTGTTTTTAGCTTCTCAGTGCTGTGCTTTAACCTGCTGCACCACCAGGGAGGGCCTTTATACTTTTTTTAAAAAAGATTTGTTTGTTCATACAGAACTGGGGTACAGGACAGAGGTGTAGGGGTGGTGAGAGGAATCACCAGAGACAGAGTGGGGAGCAGAACAGGCAGATCGACAAAGTACACTGCTGAGGGGAGCAGTGGGTGGGTTAGGAGAGGTCTGTTGAGCCATGTGGATCACCTCTGGGGCAGCAGAGATCATACGCATCTGGAAGTGGCTTTAGCGTCTTAGTGCTGTGCGTTAACAACCACTGCACCACCAGGGAAGGCCCTGTTTTTATACTTTTAAATAATGACTCAACTGCTTTTAAAACAAAGAACACAAATACCAAAAAAACCTGATAAATTTTGAAGTTATGTTTTTTCCCTTTTTCTAACAGGGTTTGAAAAATATTTTCCAAATGGGAAGAATGGGAAGAAAACTAGTGAACCAAAAGAAGTTATGGGAGAAAAAAAAGGTATTGTATTTGAATTCAACTGTTTTCCCTATTATATGATATTGGTGATCATGCTCACTGAATGAGAAAGTGTTATCCTAAGTCTGTTCTGAAAGTGCAGTTACAGAATGCATATAAAATCCTTGTTTCATTTCACCATAATATTTTGCTCATATTTTCTTGTCAGTTCAATTTTTTTCCTCCAAACTGAACTTTAGGTCATCTTAGAGATACTGACTAACAATATTTGGGAAATATATTTGGGACTTCATTGAACCCATTGAGAAAAATCTCAAAAGATCAAATGCATGATTTAGGGGACATGTGTTGTAGCATAGTACAGTGTTTTTTCAGATTGTTTCCCAGAGACTTAACTTAGGGATTCAGTGATTAAGTGATGTTGGGGGTGGAGGGGGACTGTGGTCTCTGAGCCCCTGTCCCTGATTTCACATGTGTGAAAATATTTAGCACAGTATCTTGACATGTTGATATTCAATTGGCATCCTTTCTTTTTAGGGAAATATAAGGAAAATTATAATACAGCACTTGTTTTTAAATGAATTTGGATCTAGTTGGAGAGACCCATGTATGCTTAAAGAATGCAAGGAGTAAAAGCCAGGCCAGGGGACAAGAAAAGGGAAGCATCAGTGTGGACTGGGTGGAGCATTGGTGACATAGGCGGCATCTCTAGTGTTGGCCAAGGGGAGCGGCAGGTAATCTTTTAATCTTGTTTTGGGGTAGCTTAATGACCATAGCTCCACTTTTAAAATACATCCTGTTTACTACTTTTTGTGTATAATGTTCTTTTGTCCAGATTAGTATGGAATATTGTCAGACAGCTTTAGAAATGCATTCTCTGTATTTCCCTGCCAGTAACTCCTCCTAGGTGGGGTTTGCTTATCTTAGATACTCCCTCCCTTAGATCAAGGGTACAGAAACTTCCTGTATGCATTGCAGTGGGATGAGCATGTCAGAAGTCAGTATTTTATAGCTGCTGAGTCTTGTAGTAATATGTGCTGTAGTCTAACCAATAGAGAGGTAGCTTCTCAGGAATTGAGATAATTAGAATGTAAATGAATATGTGGGTCTTTGAGTATATAGAAAAGTGGGAGAAGAAAAGAAGATGTTAGTGACTATTCGTTTTATACAGTTACTTCAGCAAAGTAATCACAACTGGATGTTATAAGCAGGCAATTGTAAGATGGTGTCTTCGGATTTTGGAGGCTGAATGTCCAAAATCAGTATGTCAACAGGAATGGCTCCTTCTGAGGATCACAATGGAAGAATCTGCTGCAGGCCTCTTTCATTAGCTTGAAGACTGCTATCTTCTCCCGTGTCTCTTCACTTTGCCTTCTTTCTTATGCATGTCTGTCCAAATTTCTTTGTGTAAGAATGCCAGTCATTACTGGACTAGGACCTATACATATGCCCTCATTTTAATTTCATTATTTCTGTGAAGACCTTATTTCCAAATAAGATGACTGCAGCTAGGATTCCAGCATATGAATTTGAGGGAGACACAGTCCTACCCATAACTGATTAACTTCAGATTCTTGGAAACTAATTTGAGGATTTCTTTAAGTCAGTTATCAAAATCATGATTTTCCTACAGAAGAAACTGTTGATTTCTTATTTTCATTTTGTGAGACATCAAAAATTCACTTACCTACATTCAAATACCATCATTATCCCTAACCCTGCTGCACCAGGTTACTTGCTACAATTTATTCATCTGTAAAATGGGTATATAGTACTTACTGGGATTGGATTTCATGAGGTAATACATGTAAAGCATTGGCAAACCTCCTTGATAGTGACTCTGTATTACTATCATTCTTTCTCATATAACACAGTACTTTTCTCATAGTACTCATCAGTTGCCATATAAGGTATTTTGTAACAAGTCTTTTATTAAACTGTATTAATGAAAACTTCATTGAGAGAGAAAACTCTGCTATGCTCCTCAGATGTGTGTTAGTATGTGTGTGTGTTTATATACACACACACACACACACACACACACACATATATATATATATATATAAATAATTTTTTTTTCCAACAGAATCAAAGTCAGCTGGTACTTCACGCCCTTCTGGAGGAGTTGGTGGTGGTGGAAAACGGGGTGGCAAGAAAGATGAGTCTCATTGGTGGTCCCGGTTCCAGAAGGTTTGATTCCAAACTGTATTAGATTTAGGGTTGGGACCAGGAAAGATTAGGAGCTATTTCTGGTTTAGAAATGATTTGAGTCCAACTTAGCATAGATTGTATTGTGACATTTCCTTCTTAAAAACTGTCTCCTTTCTTTGCCCAGGGTGACTTTCCATGGGATGACAAAGAATTTAGAATGTACTTTCTCTGGACTGCTCTGTTTTGGGGTGGAGTCATGTTTTACTTCCTGTTCAGGAGCTCCGGGAGAGAAATCACATGGAAGGACTTTGTCAATAACTATCTTTCAAAAGGCGTAGTAAGTATTTTATGGGACTGATGGCTATAGTGGCTCAAAGGTGGAATTCAATTGATTAGACTAGTTAAATGGTTAACAAGTTAGCCAAGCTTGTCTATCATAAAGTCATTGTTTTCATAGTGGGTCTTTTTTAATGTAGGAAAGTACTACTCCCAAGAAGTCTGTTGACCCAGCATTCTTCAAATTTCCAACAAAATCTTTGTTTGCCTTCATGCTGAAACCTTGTTCAAGACCCACTGCTCCTTGTAGCCCTTGGTGGGGTTTCCTTGTTTCCTTACATGCCCTGCTTCTTCCTGCTCTTGTGCCAACCACTCCTAGCTTCTTTTCATAGTTACAGATTTTATTCTGTGGTTTTGAAATTGGGTGAATATGGCACATGTAATAAGTTCAGGAGACCGGATAGGCTCTTCAGTGTGGGTCCAGGCAAGATTGCGTAGGGGTTCTTACCCATGTGAGGCTCTGTTTCAACTGTTGAATGTAAATTACACATTATTTTATGTATTACTAAGAATTAATAAACTGTCAGTGAAACTATGAAATACCATCAGTGGTCAAAAGTAGACTGAATTCTGAGATGTTAAAAAATTGATGCAATTCAGAGAGAACATTGATAAGGCCTACTGTGTAACCTTGGAGAGATTGCTTAGTTTCTCAGTACTTGATTTTTCATCAGTGAAGTAGATACATTAAATATACAATGTTAGGATTTACTGAGATAGTAACAACAATGGGAAAAGCAAGTGATTCTTTCATAAAAATATGGATATTACATATAATCTCTAGATCTCCAGGTGTCACGGGGAGCCTGCTTTATTTATTTATTTTTTTAAGTTTTCTTTATGCATACAACAACTGGGGTACAGGCCAAAGGTGTGGGGTGGGAGGTGAGAGACAGAGTGGAGAGCAGAACAGGCAGATCTACTGAAATACACTGCTGAGGGAAGCAGCAGGCAGGTCAAGAGAGGTCTGCCACGCCATGTGGGTCACCTCCCTGGCCAGGGGTCTAACTCATGCAGTAGTGGCTGTAACTAGCTTCATAGTGCTGCGCTTCACTCCACTGTGCCACCAGGGAGGGCCAAGCCTGCTTTTTATTAAGTAACTCCTGTCCATGTGTGGAGGGCCTGCTGTTGTCCTTTGAGTGTGGCGAGAGGTCCTCGGAAGTACCATCCATCTACAGCTCCTGGTCACCCCCCTGTTCTTTTGAAGCAGCCTACCATTACCTCAACAGCTTTATAGGAGGTAGAGCACTTTAATCACTCCTTTCCTGATATACTGCCGTTAGGATCAGTTAGTACCATGTTCCAGTTTGTAAAATTATCTGGAGCTCCCTCATTTTTCATTTTTGACACGTACCTTCCAGACCCTGTCAAAGCAGGAAAAAGGCCTCTCCATAAGGCCTTGTGATGAATTTTTTGAAAGTGTTTTTTGTTTTTTTTTTTAAAGATTTATTTACTTGTGCATATAGAACTGGGGTACAGGCACGGTGAGAGGATTCACCAGAGACAGAGTGGGGAGCAGAAGAGGCAGATCATGATGTACTCTGCTGAGGAGAGCAGTGGACGAGACAGGAGGGGTCATCTGCGCCATGTGGGTCACCTCTGGGGCTGGGAATAGAACTTGCATTGAAGTGGCTGTGGCTAGCTTGCAGTGCTGCATCCTAACCTGCTGTGCCACCAGGGAGTGCCTGAAAGTGTTCTTAAGAATCCTACATAGGTAGGAATTTACAGGGGAAAAAAGTTTAAACCATTTTATACTGACTGAGTGGCAAAAATTTAAGTCTTATAATAACAAGTGTAAGTGAGAATGTAAATAATAAGAATATTGTGCTATATTGGAGAGCCACTTTAGAAAACAATTTGGCAATGCCCAGCAAAGTTGAAGATCTTTAACCCTGCAGCCCATTCTTACAATGTCTGTATATAGGTACATATCCCAGAGAAATTCTTGAAGATGTGCACAAAAAGTTATCTGCAGAAATGTTGACAGTTGTTTGTGATAGTGATAATTTTAAAATGGCCTAAATGTCTGCTAACAGGAGAATGGATACATAACTTGGGGTGTGATCATAAAATGGGATTCCTTATAAAACTAAAATATCAGCCTGGATAAACCTCACAAATAAAGTTGAAGAACTGGCAAAAGTGAGTGGGTGTCCATATTATTTATAGGGTATGTCATGTATGGCTTGGATACGATTTGGGATGGTCAGTACATACATTAGATGGGCCACTTCTGAGGAAAGGGTGTGACTGGTGGCTTCAGCTATGCTTGTGATGTTTTATTTCCTGCACCAGGTGGAGGAATATAGTTATATTACTTGTTACTTTTGTTTGTATTTCTGAACTATCACATCCATTTGGAGAGAATATCTCAAGTCTTTTCTCTAGTTTGAATCTTTAACTTTAAAATTTCAGGTAGACAGACTAGAAGTCGTCAACAAGCGTTTTGTTCGAGTGACTTTTACACCAGGAAAAACTCCTGTTGATGGGGTAAGTGACTTTTTTTCTTTCTAATTTGTGTGAATTAGCTGTAAATTAACTTTTCATATTGAAAGTCGAAAAAGAGACATTGCCTCACAATTCAGTACCTATACCGAATAGACCAGAATTTTACAGGGCAGCAGTTAGTGTTGTCACTAATGGGTGGAATAGTTTTGATTTTTGCCTGTACATTTAGAAAAGTGAAATCTTGATTTCAGTATTTCAAGATAATCTAGATTTTTTTTGATACTGAGAGAATTTGGCTAGGAAAAAATGTTAAAATTGGAATTGCTTATGTATTAAGAGAACTTTTCTTTTTTTAAGTCAGTCTTAACCATCTCTCTTGACCCTTTTGTGATAGGCTATTTTAATTATCATTTCTATTTTTTAAAACTTTGTATTTTAACCAACTTGGAGAATCCATGGGTTTATGAATGGAGGGAGGAAGGGGAGCAAAGTGGTAATTAAAGTTCTTGGTGATTCTTAGTCTTTCCTGGGCCAGACCCTGGCCACCATATCCCTTATCTTGGAGTCCTGCATTCTTTTTTTTTTTCTTTAAGATTTATTTGTGCATACAGAACTGGGGGACAGGCCAGAGGTGCAGGGGTGGTGAGAGGCTTCACCAGAGACAGAGTGGGGAGCAGAACAGGCAGACTAACGAAGTGCATTGCTGAGGGAGCAGCAGGCGGGTCAGGAGAGGTCTGCCGTGGGATGTGATCACCTCTGGGGCCTGGATCAACTCATGCTGAAGTGGGTTTAGCTTCTTAGTGCTGCGCTTTAACCTGCTGCACCAGGAGTCCTGCATTCTCAATCCCCCTCCCACAGGACCAGATTTCATTGGACTGTATGTATCTCTTCTCTTTCTAAGGGTGGTTCATTTAACCATTTCCTAGTCATTGTACTTGGAAAACTTGAGTTGATGGTAATCATCTGTATCCGATAACATATTGCTCAGTACAAGAATATCTGTAGAGTTGTAAGATTCTATTATTTTTCAGTTACTTTTAGGAGTTATTTTAATCTTTTTTCTCCCCTCCCCCTTAGCCTTATGATGAAATGTTTATTAATAGCGATGCTACTTTTTTTTTATTAATTATTCTGTCAATTTTTAATGCTGGTAGTTAAATTGACACTCCCTTTCAATAGGATAGTTTGGCGTGTATATAATCTATATGTAGATAGATTATATATATATATATATACACACACACACACACACACATACATACTCACATACATATATGGCAGTATATATATATGTGCACACAAACACACACACACACACACATATATATATATATCAGTCTTGAAATTGTGCACACACATAACTTAGAGAAATTAAAGATGTATGTAAAACACAGAATCTCCTAAAAAGCTTGCAGAACAAAAAACAAAAAGTTAGGTACTTGATTTATGGCTTTAATTTTCCTGCTGGAGCAGTGACTTAGGCAGTAGTCTTCCTTGAGGGGAAGCATTTATTTTTGAGGGGATATTGTTTCCTAGTGTTGTAATATGTAAGGATTTATGTATTAGAATTTGTACCACTTCATACCTTTCTTTTTATTTCTCCATTATATTACAGTTAATAATAATGTAAGATTTTTAAGTTGATTTCATTTCAAAATTGTACATGTATTTCAAGATCATAAAGGGGGTTTTATGAAATCTTGAGGGAGAGGCATCAGAATTGCTAGTAATGCTTATCTGTAGATAATGAAGTTATGGATGTTTTTTCTTTTCTTTGTATTTCCTTCCTAGAGAACATGATTTGCCTGTTGGATAAAATCTTTATTTTTGAGTTTTCAGAAACATATAAGAATCTTCAGTGTTTTCTTATTGCTTATTAAGTTGGCGGTATTAATTACTGTGCTGTCTGTCCTATGGAAGCACAGACTTGACAGAATCAGCCTCTAGAGGACACAAGTCTTTATCAGCCTCTTGATCTAACTCTCCTAAGCCTTAGTTTTTTATCTTCAAGATTGGAAAATGGTAATGCTTTTCTAGGGCTTGGTGTTTAAATGAAATGTTAAAAGTAAACGAACGTTTTCAGACTTCAGTGTGCATAAAAATTGCACAGATAGCTGACACCCATCCCTTGAGAATGTTATCTGGATCTCCATACTGCTGGGTGTTGATTTATTCTAATTCTGATATAAATCATGAATACAGCATGTTGACTAATAGTAGGTAATGAGTTAGAGAATGAGCAAGTACTTGTGTTTAGTCTACTGTTGACATGATATGGGACTTGTGGCCAAAGGGGTTTTGTAGCCTTGTCAGTGAACTCTTACCAAGAACTAATTGTTATACTAGAAAACTTACTGTTTGTTATCTTTAGATTCCCACTCAGTAACAGTGGTTGTTAGGAGGAAGGTGGTATATAACATGTTGCTCCCTTGTGTGAATACTTCTGAATTATCTGAGTTTTATAACATTGTTTTGATTTAAAACGTAAATTCTTTAAAGCAGTTGCTGGTTAGAAGAGGGACAAAATCTTTTTGTTCTATAAAATGTAACTAATATATGCAGAGTATTTGGAACACAGTCTAATATATAGTAAAAAGCCACAATGTGTTTTCATGAGGGAGTACAACATACTAGTTAGGGTCACTTGCCCTGGAGCCAGACTGACTAGGTCCATATTCACCTGTATAAGATGGGCAAGTGAAATCACTCCTTGCATTTTTCATCTGACAGGTAGGGAGGATAAAGAATGGGAGTGATTCCCAACCAGTAAACACAAGCATGATATGAAATTCCTCTTTTGTAGTGGCTAACTTAGCCATTGCCTTAGAATCTTCTAGAGATCCTCTCTGGGGGCTTCAGGTTTTAAATATCATCTGGTGATAAAAACTACTTGTTAGGGTGGTTTTGAGGTTGAAAGAGTTAATCTGAAAAGTCTTAGGACAATGCCTGACACTTAGTAAGTGTTCAGTAAACTGTAGCTGTTCTTACCATGCATTACTTACTAGCTTGGGAAGAGGGAGCTGAAAATTACCAGGGAAAGGGAGAAGAAAAGGACACATTTATTATGTGACTGATGTGCTGCCCACTGTACCAAGAGGGTCCCTAAAAAGGACACCTTTATTTCTGAAAGGATTGCCTTTCAAATAGATATTCCATTTGTTTCTTCATTCTTTCGTGTTTATAATTTTAGTGTTAGTGAGGAGTATTGCTAAAGAAATGTCTGTTTACCAAGAACTATGAATTTCTCACTGAGTGAACCAATCTTTTATTTCTTTTTTAAGATTGGCAGATATTCAGAATTCTTGGAAAATTCTTAAAATGTTGAACCCTTTGGTGAATTGAATCTTTTATCTCCTCCTTCATACTGTTTGTTTTTCTATTTTTATAGCAATACGTCTGGTTTAATATTGGCAGCGTTGACACCTTTGAACGGAATCTGGAAACTTTGCAGCAGGAATTGGGCATAGAAGGGGAGAATCGGGTCCCTGTTGTCTACATTGCTGAAAGTGATGGGTAAGAAGCAGTAGGAATACAAACATGTTGACGACTTTTCACTGTGCTCGCTGTAGTTCTCTGTTTCCATCATAAATGGAAGGTTACATCTAAGATCCTCAAACAGGCCTTTTTAATGTAGCCAGAACTTTAAAACCATTGGCATTGATAGGGTATGGGGAGGCTCCCCCCAAATTATGTCACTTTGGCATATTGATTATTTTCAATTAAAATTGCTTGAGAACTAATGATGTAAGAAAGATACTGACGCTGTTGCACCCTTGAAAGTGGGAGAAAAATTCCCTACTTGAAGAAGTACCCTCACTGTCACAGGAGGTAGAGAGAATCCCTATTACCAGAGAGAGAATTTTGCAATCTGGAAGGGTAATAAACTTTGTTACTTCTTGACAAGTACAAGCCCGCTTATTTGTGTCAATTCTTGTTTTTTAAAAGGTGTAAGCTCTGCTGGTAGAGTGGAGGGCGGTAAATAGCTATCTGCTTTGAAACCTCTCTGAGTCTGATTTCTTTGGACTACATACAAAGTTAAATTTTTCTCCTGTTGTTCTTAGTCAAGAATCTAGAAGGGTAGATGAGGAGCATTACCTTCTTTCCCTTACAGTAACTTAATAGTTTTTGTGAGTTTATTTTCTACACATTTATGTTTCTCTTGATTCAGTAGTAGCTTGGGATATTGAAATTCATTGCATTGTCCGTAAGATGTTAGTTAGCATCAAGCATCCTTATCCCTTTGTTTTAAAGCGTGGCATTCTTTTAACTATCATTTGTATTTACAGAGTTTTCCATGATTTTAAAGTAATTTTTCTTCTTCCTCAGAGCTGCTGTTTCCCTTAACAGGGTTGTGTAGAGCTATGATCTACTTCAAGCATGTAGATGCAGATAGTTAATGTGATTATTTATTTCATTTCTGATATATCCCTCAGCCCTTGAGGCTGACATAATTATTTAACTTTATAGACTGGTGCTAGAACATTAAAAAAAGTTTTGTTTTACCTTTCCTCGAATCTTTATTGTCCGAGTATGTTTTTTTCTTCCAAAAATAAAGATAAAATTTTCATCATTCTGTTCTCTGCTACAGCAGCATTTTAAATTTTGGTAATAGATGAAAAACTATAAAGCAAAGCCTGGGTTTTGTTTTGTTTTTGACTTAAACAGTGTACAAATTACAGATTAAAATTTCTTAGGGTAAGTTAAACTGAATTGTATTGTATTATGTAATGTAAATGTGTATCTCAGCCCCATAGTTTTGTTGAAATTAACTTTTTTTTATGACAGACAAACAAAAGGCAAAAGACTTAAGTCCTTCCTAAGGACCATTTCCATTGGGAGTCTCCAGGGAGTGTGTAATAGCCACACAGCATGGCCGGTGGTGTGCTCGCCCAGAGTTAGCATTCACCATTGTTCATGAGCTTTTGAAACAGATATGCTAGGTACCTAGCAAGGTTTGGATAAATTGAAACATTTCTACAGAATAAGTTGTATTGCAATGAAAGGACTAATTTCTGCCTAGGTTAACACCAGAATTATGTTGAAATGTAAGTGAGCAATTTGAAATAAATTTTTTTTTAATTTTTTTTCTTTGGTCTTACCATTTGTGATTCCATTTTTATACACACTAAGATTCTCCTTGAGCCTCCCATAAAATACTAGGATATTCAGGGTTTTGTTTTTTTTTTTTTTAATTTTTTTTTAAAGATTTATTTATTTGTACATACAGAACTGGGGTACAGGCCAGAGGCTCAGGGGCAGCGAGAGGCTTCACCAGAGACAGAGTGGGGAGCAGAACAGGTAGATTGATGAAGTACACTGCTGAGGGGAGCAGCGGGCGGGTCAGGAGAGGTCTGCCACACCATGTGGTCTCCTCCGGGGCAGGCGGGAATCGAACTCATGCGGAAGCGGCTTTAGATTCTCAGTGCAGTGCTTTAACCCGCTGCGCCACCAGGGAGGGCCGATATTCAGGGTTTTTTAAAAATAGAAAATATATTCAGTTATCAAAAAGTGTATCTTACTAAACACTGAAAAAGTTGAAGACTGACATTGTTTTAAAAATGTTCATGTTATGTGTGGTTCTCCTTAGTTCGTTTCTGTTGAGCATGTTGCCCACGGTGCTCATCATCGCTTTCTTACTGTATACCATACGAAGAGGGCCTGCTGGGATTGGTCGAACAGGCCGGGGAATGGGTGGACTCTTCAGTGTTGGAGAAACCACTGCCAAGGTCTTAAAAGATGAGATAGATGTGAAGTTCAAAGATGTAGCTGGCTGTGAAGAGGCCAAGCTAGAGATAATGGAGTTTGTCAATTTCTTGAAAAACCCAAAGCAATATCAAGACCTAGGAGCAAAAATCCCAAAGGTAAATGTACTTTCAGATTATTTACAACCCATTAACACCAAATTCTTTGAAGTATTTCTTGATCTCCAAAGTTATAATCTTTTTTATTTATATCTATTTCATGTAATTGTTTATTTTTGTTAAGAGTGTTTGCTTTCCTCCTGTCAGGTGTAATCCCCATAAAATTTCTAACACCAGTTCACCCATGTGCTATTAATTATCCCGTGCGCTCTTCCTCTCTGTTTTGATCCTTCTCCCTCTCCCTCCCCTTCAGAATGTCTCTTGACTTCTAGTTGCCCATTAATTTTGTCTTATTTCTTAATTATTAGACTATTTTCCTGATTCCCTTATTTGGTTTCCCTATATGCCTCTAATAAGTAAAAATCAAGTAATATATATATTTTTTCCTTCTGGTTTATTTCACTAAGCATAATCCCTTCCAGGTCCATCCATGTTTCTGCAAATGGCATGAATTAACCTTATTTTTTTTTTAAGATTTATTTTTATTTATTTATGCACACAAGAACTGAAGTGTGGGCCAGAGGTAAAAGGGATGAGAGGATTCGCCAGAGACAGAGTGAGGAACAGAATAGGCTGATCTTCTGAAATATACTGCTGAGGGGAGCAGCTGGGCGCGACAGGAGAGGTCTGCTGTACCATGTGGGTTAACTCCCTGACTGGTGATCAAACTTAAGCCGCAGTGGCTGGTGATAGTTTGATAGTACTGACTTTAAACTGAGTTTACTTTTTTGATTGCTGAATAGTACTCCATTGTGTATATATGCCACATCTTGATCCTGTCATCTAATTTTGGGCATCTGGTTTGATTCCACATCTTCCCTGTTGTAAATAGTGCAGCAATAAAAATAAGGGTGCTGGTGTCCTTTTGAATTAATGTTTTTGTGTTCTTTGGATAAATACCGAGGAGTGGAATTGCTGGATTATATGAAACTCTGTTTTTAGCAGTTTGAGAAACCTCCACACAACTTTCCATAGTTATTGGACCAGTTTGCACTCCCACCAGCAGTATATAGGAGAGTTGCTTTTTCTCCACATCTTTGTCGACATTTGTTGTTGCCTGTTTTTTGAATATGTGCCATTCTTAACTGGTGTAAGGTGTTATCTCTCTATAGTTTTGATTTGCATTTCTCTGATTCTAAGGTATGTTTAACATTTTTTCATGTGCCTCTTTGGAAAAGTGTATTTTTAGCTCTTCTGCCCATTTTTTACTGGAATGTTTGTTTTTGTTGAGTCATTTGAACTCTTTGTAGATCTTTGTGATCAATCCTTTATCAGCTCTATGAAGTGCAAAAATTTTCTACCAATCAGTAGGATGTCTCGGTTTTGGTTAATGACCCTTTTGCTTTACAGAAGCTTTTGAGTTTCATGTAATTCCAGCTGTTTATCATTTCCTCTACTCTCTTTGCTTTGAGAGATGATCCTTTAAAGATGTTACTGAGAAGTGAGTTATATATTGTTTCACCTCTCTTCTCTATGTTCTCTTCTCTATGTTTTAGGTTTCAGGTGTTATGTTCACTTTATTCCATTTTTAGTTGATTTTTGTGACTGGTGTGAGGTAGTAATCTTGTTTCATTCTTTTGCATGTGGTGGTCCAGTTTTCCCAGCAGCATTTATTGAACAAGCGGTTCTTGTTCCACTGTATATTCTTTGCTCCTGTGTGTGGTTTTATTTCTAAGTTTTCTATTTGATTCTATTGGTTTATTCCATTTCTTTTTGTTTGTTCCATAAACATACAGTTTTAATTATTATGGCTTTGTTATAGTTTGAAGTCTGGTACTGTGATTCTTCCATTCCTCTATTCAGTCAGGAGCACTTTGGCTATTGAGGTTTTTTTTTATAGCTCCACATGAATTTTATCGATATTTGTTGTATTTTTTAAAGAATGTCATTGAGATTATTATCAGGATTGTATTGCAGCTGTAAATTGCCTTTCGTAGGGTGGCCATTTTAATAAGGTAAATTCTTCCAATCTATAAACTGGGATTATCTTTCCATTTCCCTGTGTCTTTCTCTATTTCTTTCAACATGTTTTATAATTTTTTTTGGTATATATTACTCATCTTTGTTATGTTTATTCACAGGTATTTGATGTTTCCTTTTTGTTAAAACTGGAAGTGAAGTGGTTTTCTTAATTACTTCCAGATTGATTGTGTATAGGAAATCAAATGATTTTTTTTTTTAAGATTTTATTTATTTTTGCATGGAAGAACTGGGGGGTAGGCCATTGGTGGGGGAGGTGAGAGAATTCACCATAGACATATGGGGGGGGCGCAGAACAGGTGATTCTACTGAAATATACTGCTGAGGGGAAGAGCAGGAGTGACAGAGAAGTCTGCTTCTCCATGTGTGTTAGCTCCCTGACTGAGATCATACTCAGGCCGTTGCCATGGTAGTGCTGCTACTTAATCCCTGAGCTACCAGGGAGCCTGGGAAATCTACTGAGTTTTGTGTGTTGATTTTGTATCCTGCTACTTTACTAAATTGGTCTATCACTGTAATTAATTTTTCAGTGGCATTTTATGGTTCCCTATGTATATTATTGTAATTGTCTGTAAATGATAGTTTAACATTTTTCCCTATTTCAATTCGTTATATGTCTTTCTCTTGTTTTATTGTTCTGGCTAGGACTTCCTAGTATTATATTCAAAAGCAGTGGTGGAGTATATGTGCTTGTCTTGTTCCTTATCTTAAAAGAAAGGCTTTTAGCTTTTTACCATTGAGAATAATATTGGCTGTGGGTTTGTCATATGTGGCTTTTACTATATTAAGGTATTCTCCTGATATCCAGAGAATTTCTAGAGCCTTCCTTATAAATGGATGGATGTTGAACTTTGTTGAATGCTTTCTCAGCATTTATTGATATTATCATATGGTTTTTATTTTTCTTTTTGTTGATTTGTTGAATTACATTAATTGATTTTAGGATGCTGAACTATCCTTGTACTCCTGGAATAAACCCCACTTGGTCATAGTGAATTATCTTCGTGATTCATTGTTGGATTCTGTTGGGTGGGATTTTATTGCATATTTTTACATCAGTGTTCATTAGGGAACTTCACCTGTAGTTTTCTTTGTGTTGTCTTTTATTTGGTTTTGGTATTAGTGTAATGTTGGCTTTGTAGAATATATTTGGTAGTATCCCTTCTTTCTCAATTTTTGGAAAGAATTTGTGTAGAATAGGCATCAGTTCATTCTGAACATTTGATAGAATTCACGTGTAAAGCCATCTGGTCTTAGGCTTTTCTTTTGGGGGAGGTCCCAGTCTGTGTTTATTTTTAATTGTTAAATCTGTTTCCTGGAGATTTTGTTTTTTCATCCAGTCTGCAACTCTGTCTTTTATTGATGAGTTTAGTCCATTTACATTGGGAGTATCAGTATTTGCCATTTTGTCTGTCTGTGATTCTTTTACTTATATTCTGTTCTTTGTTGGTTTTGGCTTTTGAGCTTCTTGTAATATGTTTTGGAGTAGGTATTTAACAGTAATGAATTCCTGGAGATTCTGTTTGGGAAGATTTTTATATTGCTTTCATAAGGAGAGCTTTGTGAGGTAAAGTATTCTTGGTTGGCATTTGTTGACTCAGTTTGTTCAGTGACAATCCATTCTCTTCTCGGCCATAGTGTTTCCTCAGAGAAGTCTGATGTCAGACTGATTGGTTTTCCTTTATAGGTTATCTGTTTCTTCTCCATCATCAGCTTCATTATTTTTTCCTTGTCTTTGACTCTTGGAAGCTTTATAATTAAGTGCCTTGTTTAGTTATCCTATTTGGCATATTGGTGTTCTAGCATACAGTTTCCTAATTTCATCTCCTTCTTCAGCTTGGGAAATTATTGTCAGTTATCTCCTTTAATAATTTCTTGGTTCCTTTGTCTTCTTACCTGGGATTTCTATGACTCTTGTTTTTCCTTTCCTCATGGTGTCAGATAGTTCTCAAAGTGTTTCTTCACTCTTTTTCCTTTGCACTTCTCTTTTCTTTTTGCTTCTTTTATTTCTGGATCTATGAGAGTACTGATTCATTCTTCCATTTCATCAGTGTTTTTGTTACTTTTCCCAGAGTTCTTTAGCTGTTGCATTAATGTTTTAATATCTTGTGTTTCCTTTCCTTCTGTTAGGTTATTGTTGTTGAGTTCTAGGGGTTGATTTTCTTTTGTGATGTGTCCAGACGGCTTACTTGGTTATTTGTATTTTTCCTTTTCCCTGTTGCTTGTTTTGAATGTGTTCTATGAGCTGGGCTACTGGGTCACTCGTACTGGTGGATATCTCTTTGGGGTGCTCCTACTGGGACATTGGGAACTGGTGGCCATATCAAGTCCATGCTGTTATGCGAGACTTCAAGGACAGTGATGCTGTGGAGGAGTTAATGGGGACTATCCCTGAAGATCACGGAGCATCTGTATGTTGATGGCCTCTTCCCCAACATGTGCATGTTAACCTCTTTTTTTGAGACCTCTTTCTGCCTTCATTCAGTTCCAGAAGCAGGGCATGGGTTCTCTAACCTCCAACAGCCTTGTAAGCAGGCTGGCACTTTCCTGGGACACACTGTTCACCTTGTTGGTAGAGCCCTGCCTTTGCCTTTACTTCGTTCTGAAAGGGGGGTGAGGAGTTACAGGTCTCAAATAGCTTTGCATTCAGACCTGTGGTTTCCTAGGACCAACTACTCATCTTTGCTTGCAGAGCCCTCCCTCTGCTTTTTTTTTTTCTGTGAGGTTATAATCATATAAAGTTTACTTTTTCTCTCCATCCTGTCTTAACTTAGTCTTTACTTACCTTGATGTTTTTGGATTACTTGTATATGCTTGTGAATGCATAACAAAACAATATAAAAATGTCCTGTTAATTCAGATGTTCAAAAAATATTTTGTATATATCAGGGCCTCCCCTTACATGCAAGGGGATAAATTGCAGCACTGTAAAGCTGTCTGCAACTACTGTAGATCCCCAGCCAGAGATGTAACCCACACGGCACTGCAGACCTCTTCTGTCTTGCTCGCTGCTTCCCTCAGCAATACATTACTCTAGATCTGCCTGTTCTGCTCCCCACTCTGTCTCTGGTGAATCCTCTCACTCCACCTCTGACCTATACCCCAGCTCTTATATACATAAATAAATCTTTGAAAAAAATATATTTAGTATATATCAGTAAAATTTTTAAACAGATTTATAATTTGGGCGTATTTATATGCAATTTACTTTGCTGAAATTCTAGTTAAATATATTTTGTTTTTTGTATCTGAAGGGTGCCATTCTCACCGGTCCTCCAGGCACTGGGAAAACACTGCTAGCTAAAGCAACAGCTGGAGAAGCCAATGTCCCCTTTATTACCGTTAGTGGATCAGAATTCTTGGAGATGTTTGTTGGTGTGGGTCCAGCTAGAGTAAGTCTTCTATTCTGTCCTGATAGTACCACTTTCCCCGAACCCTTATAAGAGCTTGGGTAAAGAGGACCTTGTTCCTAGGTTACATGTAGGTGAGTGAAACTTTGAGGGAGATCACTGTTTTTCATTCTGGGGTGATCACTGGGTGAACTTGGGTAAATAACTGCTTTTGCTGTATTTGATAGTGTGGCCATAATAGTTTGTTAATAACTCCCTGGGCATGAATTATTTTTTTTTTAGTAATTATTTTCTTATATCATGGATCATCTTTCTATAGGTATTGTTCCCCTTACGTGTCGTCTTCCCACCAATAATCCATCCTAATGCAACTCCCCCTCCTGCTCTGATCACTCCCACTCCTCCCTTGTAGCAATACATAAATCGATGGTCAGCCCATGGCCTTGTCTTTTTCCTGGAAACTTGGCCTAGTCCTGGGTGAGACCTGGGCTGGTGGACCACGATAGGCCAGACTGCTGTAATGCACAGGTGCAACTGTGAGGCAGAATTGTTCAGTAACAGCTTGTAGGGCCTGTATGTGGAGTGGCTCTTTGGACTCTGATTTTGGAGTATACTGTGGGGGTGGGGAGCGGACCCCACCTTTTGGCCTCTTCGATCAAATTGGTACAAAACATTGGTAATTCAGGCAACCCTCCTGCAGAACCCAGAGTAATTTGTTAAACTTTTAAACGAATTAGAAAGTTTATAGCTTTACCTGTTACCTTTTATAAGGGAAAACTATCTAGTGTTATTTTGTTGATGTTGAAAAGTAGCTATTAGTGCTTATTACATAAACGTTAATTTATGAGATTGTAGAAAAAAAATGTCCTTACCTTAAATCAGTTATCAACCAAGTTACTCAACATTTGCCACTTGTTTGCTACTTGCAACTCTTAAGATATATACCAACATTGTCTCCCTATGGCATGGAAACTATCATATTACTTATAGAATAGGTAATATTTGCTGTTAAGTGACTTTACTGTTTATATTTTACCCAGGTCCGAGATTTATTTGCCCTTGCTCGGAAGAATGCCCCCTGCATTCTTTTCATTGATGAAATAGATGCTGTGGGAAGGAAGAGAGGAAGAGGCAACTTTGGGGGCCAGAGTGAACAGGAGAATACCCTTAATCAATTACTTGTGGAAATGGATGGTGAATTCTCATGTCTTTTGTGTTTTAAACTAAACTTTCTAATTGTTTTACACGTCTAAAATGAGAATCCTCATACTGATATTTGGGGGGGGGGGGAGTATTGTTTAAAACAAGCATCCCTTTTAAAGGCTCTTTTTTATCAGAAGAATTATAGTCCCATTCTTAGAACTGTTCGTGATTCCTGGAGCATCAGGAAGACTCAGGAGCAATTAAGGGTGAATTTGGAAGATTCCAAATGTCCTTTTACTAAGAGAGTAGCTTTTTTTTTTTTTTTTTATTACAAAGGTTAGCTAGTATTTTAGGAAAGCCAGTTCTTCAGGTGACTTCCGTGCTGCTTGCTGTGAGGTAGGCGGATGTGACGTGCTCAGGAAAGCATTGTACATCTATCACCTATGTATGTACAATTCTGAGCTGGGTGTAGTGTCAAAACTAAAAGATAGAGCCCCCCTCTAGTCCCCACATATAGAGCTCAGAGCTCTTCTAGTACTAGGGTCCTGGGGATACAAGCTCTGGCCATGGCATTGATGGTTAACAATGTCCGATAAAACTGAGCAAAGTTAAGCCTGAAGTAGAGGTCAGAGATGAGGATGCCTGTTTTCAAACATGCTGTGATTTGTCCTGTAGTTCAGGGAGTTTAGAAACATTTGCAAGTTTGGTTTTATTGATCATATTTTTTAAAGATTTATTTGTTTATGCACACACAACTGGAGTACAGGCCAGAGGTGCAAGGGTAGTGAGTGGTTTCACCAGAGACAGAGTGGGGAGCAGAACAGGCAGCCTGATGATGTACACCACTGAGGGAAGCAGTGGGTAAAGAGGAGAAGTCTGCGCCATGTGGGTCACCTCCCTGGCCGGAGAACGAATCCATGCTGAAGTGGATGTGGCTAGCTTCATTGTGCTATGCTTTAACCTGTTGTGCCATCAGGGAGGGCCAGCCCTAGTTTTTCTGATTTTTACATCATTTTAAAAGTTGACAGTATAATCTAAATTTCTAGTTAGATAAATAAAAATGTATGGTATTTGTCTTTAGAAAATTGATTCTTAAAGCTTTAAGTCTTTATCCAGGTATGACTTGGTGATATTTTAGATTCAGTTCCAAACCACTATCATAAAGTGATTATCACAGTGAAGCAAGGTCAAATGAAATTTTTGGTTTATCAGTGCATACAAAAGTGTACATTTATTCTGTATTATAATTTGTTGAATGCAGTAGCATGTCTAAAGCACAGTTTCTGTACCTGAATTAAATGTGATATGGAGGTATGATGTGAACGTGTACAATGGGAAAATGGCACTGACAGAGTTGCTTCACATAGTTTGCCACAAAACATCAGTTTGTAAAAAACTCAATCTATAAAGCAAAGTAATTTAAAAAAGTATACTTGCATGTGAATATGATCACAAGAACAAGATAAATAGTAAGAAAATCATTTAGGTTTGTGACTTAAAAACACTAGATAATAAATTGAAAAAATATTTTACAGTAGCAATGCTCATACATTCATGACAGATACTCTTGCTTGCTGCCTCATGTCATTTAATAACATTTCACCTTTGTTACTGTCTTTTCAGGCTTTAACACAACAACAAATGTAGTCATCTTGGCAGGTACCAATCGCCCAGATATCCTAGATCCTGCACTGATGAGGCCAGGGCGCTTCGATAGGCAGATCTTTATTGGTGAGATGATTTTTATTGACTTCAGTCCAGTTCTCACTAGGAGAGATGTAATTGTTCATTGTCATTTTTTCTGCTTAAAAATTACTTCTTCAGGACCACCAGACATAAAAGGAAGAGCCTCTATTTTCAAAGTTCACCTCAGACCACTAAAACTGGATAGTGCCCTGGAAAAGGACAAGCTAGCAAGAAAACTTGCATCCTTAACACCCGGGTTTTCAGGTGAGTGGAATATAGTATACTTTCTTATGTCTTTGAATCAGTGACAGTTACTAGATACTAGCTTAGTTTGTTCCTTTTCACTTTGGGGCTTCTTAGTTATATATTTTTACCTTTTCTAAACACTCACAACTTTCCTGTTTCTAAAAACTTCATTAAAGGGGTTAAATATACTCTATGCTTGAAATAGTGATGAATAAAAATTGTAATTTTCTGGTTAACCAGAAAATACTTACCCCACCAGCACAGCAGAGGACACATGATTTGCTTTCCTTGCTCTCTAGTAGCTTATGACTTAATATCTGTAATTGCTTACTAGCAATTCAAGAATGTGTGCATTCAAAGGAGTATTTCAAATATAGACAAACACTGAGGAAATAGTGTGAGAAATTTCTCTGCTCAGCCTTATCTTGATGATACCCCAACTCTTCCCCTGCTGCTGTATTACTTTGTGACAGATTCCTTGACATTGTGTTATTTTCTCTATAAATGTTATAAAAATTACTCCTAAAATTTTTACTTTCTTTAAATCTAGCATTTATTTATTTTACTCTTTTGTGTAGAAGAACTGGGGTATAGGCCAGAAGTTTGGGCAAGGGAATGAACGGATTCACCAGAGAGAGATTGGTGAGCTGAACTGACAGATTTATTGAATGAAATGTTCTGCTAAGGGGAGCAACAGGAGAGAGCTTGGAAAGGTCTGCTACACCACATGTGGATTACCTTCCTGTCCATGAATCAAGCTCTGGCCTTAGTGGGGAAAATGCTGAGATTTAACCCCTAGGCCACCAGGGAGGCACTATTCCCTAAGTTTTTTTTTTTTGTTTGTTTGTTTTTAAGATTTATTTATTTATTCATACAGAACTGGGGTACAGGCCAGAGGATTCACCAGAGACAGAGCAGGGAGCAGAACAGGCAGATCAACGAAGTATACTGCTGAGGGGAGCAGCAGGCGGGTCAGGAGAGGTTACCATATGGATCACCTCCGGGGCGGGTGGGGATTGAACTCATGCTGAAGTGGTTTTAGCTTCTAAGTGCTGTGCTTTAACCCACTTTATCACTAGGGAGGGCCTATTCCTAAATATTTTAAAATATTTATTTTTAAAATATCTATTAAATTAAGCAACTCTATTCAGATAAAATTAAGGTACTACTACAAAAGTTGTATAATTGTTACTGTAATTTTAAAACATTTTTATCATTCTGAAAGAATCTACTACCAACCATTCCCTTCACTTTTAACACTAGGTAACCTATAATTTACTTTTCTGTCTCTGTAGAGTTGCCTATTCTGGACATTTTATATAAATGGAAAAATAAAACTTGTGGCCTTTTCTGACATGCTTAACTGAATGAACTGGGTTACTTTAATGCTTATGCTTTTCATTTCAGCATACCATTTAATGCCCATGTAAGTCCCTTTCCCAATAAATGATGAAACTAATTTAATAGATATTTTAAAATACTGTCTTGTTTTCTATTATATGAAACATATTGTTTATAAAGGGAAGTAGTAACCTATAATTGCAAACTACTAATATTTGTATATCAGTTCTAACAATTGTTCCAGGTTAGAATAGCTTAGGGTTAACTTGAACCAAACTGAATTATATTTACATAAAACTCTTATCAGATCTGCTGAAATTGGTCACTGTAATGGGTGACTAATGAGTTTGGTGGGTAAATTGTGTTCAATTTGCAGGAGCTGATGTTGCTAATGTCTGTAATGAAGCTGCTTTGATTGCTGCAAGACACCTTTCAGATTCTATAAATCAAAAACACTTTGAACAAGCAATTGAACGAGTCATTGGTGGTAAGGCAACTGAATTTAACTCAAATTAAAAGGTGGGCAAAATGAATATAAGGCTAGGGATTTTCTGTTCTGGCAAGACGTCAAAATAAAGAACGGTTTGTCTGCCTGGAGCTAGGGCATCCTTGTCTACTTGGGCACTGTCCTCTTTTTTTTCTGTGTACATGCCAGTGAGTAGATATAAGTCTATAATGTTGAGCTTAAGGGCTTTTTATTTTTTTAATTAATTAATTTTTTTTATGAATTAAACTTTTTTTCTTACATCACTATAGTTCCCATAGTTTTCCCACCACTTGTGAGCCATCACCATATTCCCTTGTGTTCATCTCTCCTGTTTTGCCCCTCCTCCTTTGCTGCATGCTTCAGTTCTTCAGCTAGCTGCTTGTTTTGACTTTTCTTTACTCTTTGTTTGGCTTCTCTATATTCCACACATATGTGAGACCATCTGCTATTTATCTTTTTCCTTCTGAATAATTTTAGGTAGCATAATCTTAAGGGCTTTTTAGAGGTTATAGTGGTCAGTATTGAAGTAATGTGGGCTTTTTCTTAAGTGATATTTTGAAAGATGAATTTGTCTTTGAAAAGAAGGCAGGCTACAGGAGGCAAGATTCTTATAGTCATTAACATGTATGAGATAAAAGATGTTAGGTAGTCTCAACGGCAGTAGGCAATGAAAAGACAACTTTACAGGTGACAGGAAGAAGGCAATGCTCCAAGAGAAATGCCTGCTTCTGAGACAAGCAGGACACACAGCACAATGGTGCCTACCATTACATGTTGCCAAAGTGTTACATTCAAGTGGCAGAGGAGAGAAAAATAAGCCAGCAAAATCACAGCGCCAGTGTCACAGGCTGAAAGATTCCTTTAGTGAATGAGACAAAGAAGCGGTGCCATTAAAAAAGACCTTGGGCATTGGGGGAAGATGGGCTAAGACATGCTTATAAAGGTGATGTCAGCAGCAGCCCCAAATAATGTGAGTACATTAAGGAGAATGGTGGTTGAATTTTGACAACCAGATTGATTTCCTAGTAACTTGACAATGGCAGTTTCAGTTGGTTGGAGAGTACCAAGTTATATTCATGGAGAGTTCAGTGAAGATCTAGAGCTAGTATAGCGAAGTGTTTGAACCCCAGGGTTAGGTTCAATAAGCAACTAAATATTGAATGAATTAATTGGCCAGTGCTCCAAAAATATATTATGAAAAGATAAAATCAAAGGTGATAGAATTGTGGATGGAATTAAAGAAATTTACTGTAGAGACAGGTGAAAACTGCTTATTTGTGGTGCCATTTTAATCAAAAGGAATCTCAGTGCTTCATAGAAAAGTGTGTAAAGAAGAACAGGCTGGCAAGGAGAATAGGGCCTCTTCCCTGAGGTTATGGGTACTTGCCTGTTTATTGTAAAGTAGTCACAAACAATTTTTCTGTACTAGAATAGCATCATGAGAAAACAAAAATTTCTTTGAATTTTAGGGTTCTTTTCGGGCAACCAAGAGCTACTTATCTATGGAAAAACACGGCTTGTTAACTCAGCTCTGTAACCCACCTTTTTAATACTGGTACATATTTGTCTTGGATTATATCTTTTTTGTTTTTTCATTTATTTTTTTTTCTAGTTTTCCAAACTCCTTAATATATTATTAGTTGAGAAAGTCTCTCAAATGGGTTACCTTGAACACAGCAAAACTACTGTTACCATGGTATGACTTTGTTGTACAGACTATGTACAGTTATTTTCTACAGTACAAAGGTACAAACAACCCACACAGGATTTCTTTTCTAGTCTAATCCCTGCTGCTTTGGCTTGCTCTTGGAACCCCTTGAGCTTTTTGGTTAATGTGGAAGGTGCTGCAGTCCCCCGTTTCTGTTTTGTTACAAGAAACAGCGAGTATGATGTGGGATTTTGTGTCAGGGGGCTGTGCCTGTCTTAGGTTGTGGACTTAC